CCACACCAGCCAGGGCTATTTCTGAAATTAATCCTTTAATGCAAATATCACCCAAATCAATTTCACTTGCACAAAATTAAAGTAGTGTATTAAGTCCACCATACTCCCCTTTATCAGCTTGTTACATTTCTTACTAAACACGCATACACATTGCTTTAGTGTCCTAGGGCTGCATGAACAAAGCATCACAACTGGGTGGCTTAAACAACAGAAATTTTTTGTCCTGCAGCTCTGGGGGCTGGAATTCCAAGATCAAGGACTTGGTCTGGATTGGTTCCTGCTGAGAATTCTAAGGGAGAAGCAGTTCCATCCTCTCTTCCAGCTGCCAGTGGTTTGCTGGCAGTCTCTGTCATTTCCTGGCTTGTAGAAGCATCACCTGGTCTCTGCTTCTGTAGTCACATGACATTCTCCCTCTGCATGTGGGTCTGTGTCCAAATTCCCCCTTCATATAACGTCACCAGTCAGTCCTCTTGTACTGGGGCCCAGCCCACTCCAGTGTGACAGCTAATTCCATCTGCAACTGCTGTGTTTCCAAATAAGGTCATAATCTGAGGTCCTGGGGGTTAGGACTTCCTCATATTAATTTTAGGGGGTCACAATACAAAGTCCAGCACATGCCTACACATGTACACATGTGCATGTGTATTTATCCCTATTAAAAGCTCTGAGGTCAGATCTTGCTTTTGTGATCACACTGCCCTCTTGCTGTAAACACCAGCTTGCAAATCTGCTCCTCCCACACAGTAACCTTTCTCCGAGTGCCTTTACATGTGTGGTGTACAACAGTGCCTGCCTCAGTCCCTCTGACGCTGGGTAACAACCCACCGAGGAACTGGTCCACCCTGTGTTAGCAAGTCCTGACTGACGCACCTTAGGGTCCTTCCCAGTGTCACAGCCCCAGCTACAGACGTCCTGGACCTGCTTTCTGAGGCCCATGGACTGCTTTGCCAGAGTAAGGAGGACGTCATGAAATTGATGGGTTGTGGCCCTTGCTGTTTAAAATTTTAATGCCTATTTGCCAACATGGGGTGGTTCAACTCTTCTTCATCCCTGGGAAGAGTCAGGGTGTGGGCAGCGCTCCTGGGGCTTTATTGCAGAATTAATTCAATACAGGGGGGCACTTTAATGAGGTTGAAAGGCTGAGAATGGAGAAGGGAAGCACGGGGCAGCGGCTGCTGAAACGAAAAGGTGTGGGGACAGGGGTCTCAAGCGATCTCAAGTGTCTGAGGAGAGGCACCCCTGGATGCTCAGGGATGTAGTGCTGAGCCCTGGCCAGTCCCTGCTACATGAATCATTAGCTATTCTTGTCCCCCAAGAATCAAACCAAGAATTTTCTAGTGCAGGGGGTTCCCACCTGGGAAAATTCAGTCCCCCAAGGGACACTGGGCCATGTCTAGAGACATTTTTGGTTGTCATCACCGGGAAAGAGGGATGCTCCTGGCATGGGGTGGGTGGAGGCTGGGGGTGTTACAACTCACAGGACAGCCGCCTCTCACAAAAATGATCTAATGTCATGTGTCCACCCCCCAGCCACCCTGTGGTCTAAGGACATTTGTGTTGAACCTCAAAATCCTCCTTCCCCTTTCTCCTTCCACACCAAGCCCTAGTCATCCTGGGCTTGAGTCAGAGAGAGAAGATTAAAGGAAAAAACCCCACCCCCTCCCTCCGTCTCCTTCCCAGGTCGAGGCTGGACTGGGGCCATCAGGACATCAGATTTCTGGCCAAGGGAGGGGGGACGCTGGTCTAGCGTCAGGGGCAGCTGGGGACGCTCTGGGGATATGGGAGGCTGTTTGGGTCTCTCCTGACCCCAAGCCTATCTGTTTGTCCTGTTCCAAGTGCTGGGCGTTCACCTCTCCTTCCAAACCTCCCTCCCTCTCCAGGGGTGTCAAACTCATTCTTACCGGGGGCCACATCAGCCTCACAGCTGCCTTCAAAGGGCTGAATGTAATTTTAGGGCTGCACGAATGTAACTATTCCTTAACAGTTAATGGGGAGCTCGGTGCTGCTGCCAGGTGGAAACAAGGTGCCCGGCCGGATACAACAAGGTGGAGGGCCGGATTCGGCCCACAGGCCTTGTGTTTGCCACCTGTGCTCTAGGCAGAGCCACGTCTGATCTTCCCAGCAAATCGGATCCCTCCTCTTAGTTGGGGCACGTATGCCCTCCACTGGTTGCCCAAACTGCAGCTGAGACCTGCCCTGGAATAAGCCACCCCATCCCCACCCCCACAGGAGTTTTTATCTGAGCCCCCCACCCCCATCTCCCCACCTTATTTTCTCTCAGAACCCTACCTTAGGTCCTTGGTTCTAAAGTCCTGACTCCTCATCTGCCATTCAATCAACCTTTCAGGTCTCATTTCTTTTCTTTTTTTTTTTAATTTTTTCTTTCTTTCTTTCTTTATTTTTTTTAGATTGTATTTATTTTTAGAGAGGGAAGGGAGGGAGAAAGAGAGAGAGAGAAAAGAGAGAGAGAGAGAGAAACATCAATGTGCGGTTGCTGGGGGCCGTGGCTGCAACCCAGGCATGTGCCCTGACTGGGAATCAAACCTGCAACACTTTGGTTTGCAGCCCGCGCTCAATCCACTGAGCTACGCCAGCCAGGGCTCGGATCTCATTTCTTTAGCTGAGGCCCTGACTGTGGGGGACTGGGAGGGTCTAGTTCTGTCCTTGTTTCTCAGACTAGGGGCTTCAAATCTTTAGGGCCCCAGCATTGCTCAGTATAAGGCCAGACCCACTGAATGAATGACTCCATGAATGAATGAATGACATGACTCTGGGGTAGCTCCCCAGCTGGGCCCCAGTACCAGGGGAAGCCTTGTTCCTGCCTTCCCCACAGTCAGGGCCAGGAGATAGCTGGCTCCGACAGGACCAGAACCCAGAGATGTGTTGGGCTGCCCCCTCTTGCTGGTGCTTTGTCTGCCCCCAGGGGCTGCCAAGGATGTTTCCCTGGGTGCCTGTCCTACCCAGGGAGCTGAGAGAAGAGTAAATACTGAGCCACCTTTTCCTTTTCAGGTAGACCCTCCTCTGCTGGGGAATAAATATAACTCAAAGATAATGATCGCATGTTGCTCAGCCCTCTAGTACCAGGCAGTAGTCTGAGCCTCAGTGTTCTCATCTGGAAAATGGACAATGAAGTGATGTAAAATTTCCTAAGGGTGTCATGAGATGAAAGGAGGTGAGGAATGGAAATAAAAAGCTTAAGCTAGTATTTTCAGAAGTCATCTTTCATTTCTCAGCGAAATCTAAAGGGAGCCTGACGCGCAGGGAGGAAAAAATTGAGGTTCTTATCTTTCCTTATCTCTTTATCTCCTCCAAAGCGGTCTAGCCTTATCTCCCGTCTTCTGAGGCATTCCCCCTCTCTGTCTCTCTCTCTCTCCGTGACCCCACCCACACCCGTTTTTCAGGCTTCTTTCCAAGAAAGAGCGTGTGTTTTGGTGGGTGGTCTATGTCAGTATGGAGACTGAGCTGGCACCATTTCGGCTGCCAGAACCTCAAGTTTATAAGTCCTGTCTGTTTCCCAGTTTCTGTCTGAATTTCTGGTTCTCTGCCTGCATGTCCACCATTCAATTACTGGATAGATTAATTAAATGTGTTGGGGTAACAGTGGTTAATGACTTGATATAAATATTAAGTGTACAACTTTACAACCCGACATCTATGTACTCCATTGTGCACCCACCACCAAAGCCTGGTCTCCTCCCCTCACCATGTACTTTACCCCCCTTGCCTCCTTCCTCCTCCCCCAATAGCCTTCCCTCTGGTAACTACCATTCTGTTGTCTCAGATATCTCTTGAGCTCCTACCATGTGCCAGGCATTGCTGGGGACAATGCAGTGACTAAGACTGCCCTGATCCCTGCCTCCACGTGGATCACAGGCCAGTGGGGCAGACAGTTGCAGTCCCGACGGGGAGAGAGCAGATGTCAGGATTGCGGTGGGGTAGACCAGGGCACTGTGGGAGTCCAGAGTAACAACTGACAGGGACCCAGGGGGTGCTGAGAAGACTTTTTGGCTGAGAATATTAACAGCTAACACTTCTATCACTGTTAAATGTATACTATACCCATTCTAGAGCTGGGGGGACTGAGGCCCCATGATATTAATGGGCTTATCCCAGCTGGGTCAGCTAGGAGGGGTGCTGGTCTGGCCCCCATGATTCTGGCCATGCAGGTTTAATACCATTGCTGGAGGAGTTCTGGAGGCGAGGGCAGGGGTGGTGGTGGGGAAACTACATCCAACATTTGCTCAAACTTGAAACCGCTTGTGTGGTTACCAAGCTAGTCTAGGAGGGCAGTTGGAGGAGGGTGGGGAAGCTTCCAGGACACTGGCCACCCAAGTGCATACCCCTGACTCGCTGTCAGGTGAGCATATGCACTCCTGAGCCTGCTCACTGCTCTTTGGGAGTGTTTCTGGACTCTGAGTTAGAAGAAACTTGCTATGCCTCCCGCCCAGCTGGATGAGAAATTCCACCTGGGGCGCTTGGCACATTAGAAGCTCATTAAATGCCAGCTGATGTTATTATGATGATTATCCCCACTATTATCCTCAATAGCTAATTAATTAGAACTAATGCGTTCTCTTGGCGTCCAATTGGGTCTCTCCCGGCCGAGAAGTCACCGGACCCCGAATAGAGGAGAGCTGGGGCTTAGATCTCCCCGTAACGCACGACTCAGCCCACCCCGTTCTCCCCAGCCCACATTAGGCCTCGTAAAGCTGCGAGAAGGCTGCTGTGGGGAGTACCTGGCAGTCGGAGTCTGGGTGGGGGCGACCCTTGTTGCACCCCCAACTTCCGTGGTAAAGGGTCCAGCAAACCCCTAGGGACCGTGGAGCGCTAGGACCAAGCGGCTCCGTCGGCGCCGGGTGCAGAGGCCAGGCTAACCCCGAGACCACGCCCATTTCCCTGAGGATTGGCTTTTCCGTACCCGCACGCAGCTCGGATTGGCGAAGGAGGCCGCTGCTCCTGGGATGCCCCGCCCCGCTCCTCTTTATCCGTAGAATCGGGTTTACAGGGTTTACCGGCCTCTCGGCGGCAGGCACGCCGGGTAGGGTGGACAGGTTGGACTCTGTGTCAGGGAGAGAGGGGCGCCAACAGTGGGTTTCAGGGTCCCATTTGCGACGCGCCCGACGGCCCAGCGCGAGTCCGGAGCTCCGTCATGGGCCCGGGGCCCCCGGCGAACGAAGCAGGGGCGCCCCCGCGGCCGCTATCCCTGGCGGCCCGGCTGAGCTACGCCGTGGGCCACTTCCTCAATGACCTGTGCGCGTCCATGTGGTTCACCTACCTGCTGCTCTACCTGCACTCAGTGCGCGCCTACAGCTCGCGCGGGGCTGGGGTGCTGCTACTGCTTGGCCAGGTGGCCGACGGGCTCTGCACGCCCCTGGTGGGCTACGAGGCCGACCGCGCCGCAGGCTGCTGCGCCCGCTACGGGCCGCGTAAGGCCTGGCACCTGGTTGGTAAGTCGCGGCCGAGCCGCCCCCATTCATCTGCCTGCCCAGTGCTCCCTGTGGCCTGAGCCTCCCCCTCTATGTCTGCCCCAAGGCTTGAGCCAACCGCCCCCCTCCCCCGGCTTAACTGCCCTGCTCCCCTTCTGTCTCTCTGTTCCATGGCCTGAAACTGTCCCCGTTGTCTGCCCCATGTTCTGAGTCTCCCCACCTCTATCTGCTTATGGCTGCTTGGCTGACCCGCCGAGCCCCCTTCAAATGCCTGTTGGTGTTTCTCTGCAGTTTCGCTTCCCTTTGTCTCTCTGACCCCTGGGGGTTCCCTGAACCACGTTCGGGTTGGGTCTGACTGCCCAGTGTCTCCTCTGTCAGTCCATCTTGTCTGGCTTGACCTGTCCATCTCTGTATCAGGGTGACTATCAGGACAACTCAGTGTGAGCGAGGGTCAGACTGCCTAGACTGGTTGCCTTCAAAGGGCTGAAATAATTTTAGGACTGTATAAATGTAACTACTCCTTAACTGTTAAGGAGTTGAAATCACATTCGGCACTTTGAAGGCAGCCTCCAGGCTGATGAGGCCCCTGGTGAAAACGAGTTTGACACCCCTGGTCTAGAGGCCCCTCTGTGTATCCCCTCCCCCATCTCAGGCAACCTTAGGTGTTTTTGGGGAGCTGCCCTGGCAGCTGAGAGTTGGGGGTGGGGGAGACAGAGGGACTGGGAGTCTGTGCCTGACGAATGGGGATGGAGTCTGAGGGCAGATGAAGGGGTTGCCTTCTGGCCTGGGGCCTTTGCCTGCCTAGAGGGCTGTCAGGAAAGTAGGCAGCTGGTCCTTGGGGGCAGGGGTGCCCTGCCCTGTGAGCACCAATGATAAGGCCTGCGTCCACGCATCCCTTCTCTCCCACCCAGGCCCTGGGCTTGGAGATTAGCCCCGGCCATATTCCCTGCCGTTCCTACCCTGGCAGGAGTGTCCACACCCTGGCATCGGGGGCCTGTCCAGTGTTTTAGGAGTCAGGGCCAGGAATCCTGCCACTCGGGGAATTCTGGACAGCAGCTTTCTAGAAGGCTGGAAGGGGCGTCTGGTATTTTCTTGTCCTTGGGAACATTTATCGAGGAGGCAGTGATTTCCCCTGGGCCCTTGTGAGTGACATTTTTTTTTTTTTGCCAGCCGCAGCAGGCCTCCGAGTAGCCCAAGGGTGGCTGGCATTGCTGTGGCCACATCCCAGACTGGATTTCAGATGTGTCAGGTGCTCAGGACAGGACATTGCCTTTGGGGTTTCAATGGATAAATAGGAGTGTGTGTGTATATGGGGGGGGGGGGTAACATTCCAAGAAGTTGAAAGGGCTTGTGCAAAGGTGTGAAGCATCATGGCTTTGAAGCTGCTGAGATGAGAAGCAGCCCAGAGTAGTAGGAGCTCCCACTTTCATACATTCTCAATTCTCACATAATCCCCAGAAAGCAGATAGTTCCATTTTCTCCATTTTGTAGAAACTGAAGCCCGAAGAGGCAAAGTCACATGCCCAAGGTCCCCCAGCCAGGCAGTGGAGCTCCTACAATGGTTAACTGGCCTGGACAAGAGCAGGGTGGAGTCCGGCCAGGACAGCACATTCTTCTGACCAGTGTCTGTGATTGGCGCCTGGCCCCCAGGCATCTGCTCAGGATGCCCCTCCCAGTTCCAGAGAAGGGAACCTGGGTGGCTGGTTTTGGTTTCATTTCCTGATTCCAGGGCCGCAGGGGAGGGCCCAGGGTCTGTGGATGAGGTCATCTCCAGAGCCTGTGGGAGGAGGGAAGTCCAGCTGCCAGACTCCTTCCAGGGGCAGGGATGGGAGGAAAAGTGACTTAGAGAGACCTGGTACCCACCCCAACAGGGCCTACAGCCTGGTGGGGCAGGCAGGCAGAAAACAAGCAAACGGACAAACAAAAGATTTCCCAAAAGAAAGCAGGGTCCAGAATAGAATGCATCGTGGTGGCAAGGGGACTGTTAGGGACTGAGCTGGTAAGGAAGGGGTTCTTTGAGGAGGTGGTATTTGAGTCCTGAGGGATGGAAAGGAGAAGAGGGTTCTGGGCAGAGGCCATAGCCTGTGAAAAGGCCCTGAGGCGGACTGTGCCTGGTGTGTTGGAGAAACAGAAGGAGCTCTCTGTAGCTGGAGCAGAGTGAACGAGGGGGAGAGGAGGAGGCATGGGCAGGGAGGGGATGGGGGCAGGTCACGCAGGGCCTTGTGGGCCTTGAGGAGAACCTGGGCTTGTTTTGAGATGCTGGAATGTTTGCCAGGGAGAGGTTTTCTTATGAGCTGATGAGGAGTCGGGCTCATGGAGGGCAGGGTCCAGCATCATCACCTGGCCTCCTGACTCCTGGTGGCTCCACCAGATCCTTGACAGGAGCTGGGGAGGAAAAGCCTCACTCCCTGGGCAAGACAGGAAAGGGAAGCTGTGGGTGTAAATGGTGTGTCTGTAGTGGGCGGTTTTTCAGGGGATCCCCACAGCCCCCTTTAAACCTGCTGTGTGACCTCAGGCTCTCTGTGCTTCAGTTTCCCCCCCCTGTCAGCGGCAACCTTGGGGAGCCCTGGACTGTCATGGGGAGGCTGTGCTCTCGCTCCCTCTGACTCCCCGGCCGGGTGCCCTGGTTCTTCTTGGTCCTGCCTGCTCACCTGTTATGGTGGGTGGTCTCAGGACCACTCCAGCCTGATCTGTGTCTCAATTGGACAAAAGGGACATATAGCTTGGACTGGTGGGTGGAGGCTTCGCCCCTCCGTCCTGTTTGGCTGTGTGACTTCTGGAGGACCCAGATCTGTCTGCCTCAGTTGCCCCATTTGTCACGGGTGCCATGAGCCTGGGGCGCCGAGAGCTGCTGACCCCACACACCCCCCTGTGTGACTTTGGGAGGATCTCTAGCCTTTTCTGTGTCTCTATTTTCTTCCCACCGGGGCACACCCCAGGGAGCTCTGGGCCACCGTGGAAAGGTCCGGCGATGTGACCTGTCCCTGCTCTGCCCATCTACAGGCACCACCTGCGTCCTGCTCTCCTTCCCCTTCATCTTCAGCCCCTGCCTGGGCTGTGGCGCGGCCACGCCCGAGTGGGCCGCCCTCCTCTACTACGGGCCCTTCATTGTCATCTTCCAGTTTGGCTGGGCCGCTACGCAGATTGCCCACCTCAGCCTTATCCCCGAGCTCGTCACCAATGACCATGAGAAGGTGGAGCTCACAGCTCTCAGGTACCACCTTGGTGGGACAGGATGGGGAGGGCACACGCACAGCAGGTGAGGGCGCGGGACCTGGGGCCCCACTCTGTGTGTGGTCTCTGCTTGGTCGTATGGCTCTGGGTCTCTCAGCCCCAGCTTATACTCCTACAGTGCAGCGGATCAGCCACCTGCTGCTGCTCGCGTGAACCAAGGGAAGCCCCAGACAGCACGTGTTTATTAGTCATGGTTCTGGTGGGTTTAGACTCTGCCTCAGCTCAGCTGGGGGTGTGGCTTCAGTGTCAGTCTCAAGGCTTCAGTCGAGGCATTGACTAGGGCTGATCTCATCCGAGGCTTGGAATCCCTCCTCCCTGCTCATGGGGTTGGTGCCAGAATTCACCTTCCTGCAGAGGTAGAGCTCGGGTGATTTGCTGATTCTTTGACACTAGCAGGAGAGTCAGATTCCAGAGATGGCTTAAGCCCCTTTTCCAAGAATCACCTGAATAGGTCAGACCCACTCAGGATAAGCTCCTTTAATGGCATCTGCAAAATCCCTTTCCCTGTGCCACAGAAGTTGCCTAAATATGGGAATGACATTCCCCTATATTCATAGGTCCCATCCCCAAGAGGAGGGGATTAGGTAGGGCAGGACCAGGGTATGGGAGTCTCCAGGGCCACCTTAAAATCCTACCTTCCACAAGCAGGAACAGTTGGCACCCAGCTTGCTTTGAGGAGGTTATTCTGGTTTTGAAGATCACAGGAGCGTTTATTGAGAGCTTGCTGTATGCTAGGCACAGTTCTAGGCCCTTCACATAACAAACCCATGTTGTCACGTGCCCAGGGCCAGACCCACGTACCTATGGGGCGTGTGAGGTAGGAAAAAGGAACAGGAGGTGGCAGTTCCAGCCAGAAGGGAGAGCACGAGTGAGGGGGACCAGCTGCTGGAGCTCCAGGTGCTGGAGCTCAGAGAGCCCGGCTCACCCGGTGGGTGAGTGTTACTCTTGCCATTGAGGTAGCGCCTGCCTATCTCCAGCTCAGCCTGTCTGGCCCCGGTCTGGCCTCCTCCACACCCCAGCCTTTGAGTTCCCCATCGTGACTGAGAGCCGCAGGCGCTAACGGCAGGGGTTGCTCAATGCCTGGGCCCCCGAGGGCCCTAGATGACAGTGGACAGGCTAGGTCAGGCCAAACTCTGATGTGCTTTCTGCCCGCAAACGCTTTATTGCCAACCTCATGTCATCCCCACTGTGGCTTCTGGGTTAGCCTGGTTCTCACTTTTAGAAGGGAAGCCGACTCCTGGTGAGATCCAGAGGCTGCCCCCCGCCCCCCCCCGGCCCCTGGAGAGATGGGGCTCCGGGGCTGCAGGCAGGAGCAGACCAGGTGATTCTAGACCTTGCCCTGCTGCAGCCCAGGATCTGGGCGCCAAGAATTCCCGAGTCCTGCTTCTGAATCCCCGGAGTTCTCAGACTTGGACCACAGCCCCAACTGGCCCTGCTTTACTGAGGCTCTGCATTCCAGCCCCCCTCCGCCCACGCCCCCCGCATGGTGGTCGGTGGTCAGAGTTGTAACTCATCAGATAATGTGCAGGCTGGGGAAGTGGGGCTGGCAAGGGCTTCCCTGGGGCCACCCAAGGTTTGGTGCTGAAATTACCCATCAGCCAGAAGTTCCTTAGACTCTACAAGCAGCTCTGTGTGGCTGCCTGGGGAGGAAGTGGCCACGTTGTTTCCCGGGCTGCCATGCTGAGGCCTCGCCTGCCCCCGCCCCTGCCAGGTACGCCTTCACCGTGGTAGCCAACATCGCCGTCTATGGAGCCGCCTGGCTCCTGCTCCACCTGCAGACCTCTTCACATGCGGGGTCCACACAGGACATCAGTGACCAGCTGGGGATCCAAGATGTGCCAGTGTTTCGGGTGAGCTGGGATGGGGGGCGAGGATGCTGCTGGCAGGATGGGACATCCCCTACTTCTCCCCCCAACCACCTTCCTGAACTTGGGGCTTGGACGGTGAGAGCCACTGTTGACGCTTCTCCTGCTGGATCCTCAGAACCTCTCCCTGTTGGTGGTGGGCGTCGGAGCTATCTTCTCACTGCTGTTTCACCTGGGCACCAGGGAAGGGCGCCGGTCACTGGTGGAGGAGCCAGATGAACACAGCCCCCTGTTGGCCCCCACCACAGCCCGCCCCTTGCTGCTCTGGAAACACTGGCTTCGGCAGCCGGCCTTTTACCAGGTATGTCATGGGGGCACAGCAAGCCGGAGTGGATGCCCGTCTCCCACCTGGCCCTTACCGTGTGGGGTGGCAAGCAGGGATGTCCCATAGACGAGCCAATAGAGGATTTTCCATCCCACAGGCAGTGCAGACACTGCTAATCAGTTACTGCTCTTCTCCACCTGACCAGCTATGGTCATTACTAGTGGATCAGGCGACAGCTGCGGCTAGGCCCCCAGTGTCCCCTGCCAGCGGAAGTAGAGAAGGGCCCTGCCCGATCCGAGTCATTCCGTCTGCTCATACATAGGTGGGCTTCCTGTACATGAGCACGAGGCTCATTGTGAACCTGTCTCAGACGTACATGGCCATGTACCTCACCTACTCCCTCAACCTGCCCAAGGTGAGCTGGGCAGGGCGGGCCAGGGCTGTGGGTGGCCCCTGAGCCTGAGGAGCCCCACCTGACCTGCCTGTGTCCTCTGCCCCAACAGAAGTTCATCGCCACCATCCCGCTGGTGATGTACCTCAGTGGTTTCTTCTCCTCCTTCCTCATGAAACCTGTCAACAAGTGGATTGGGAGGAACGTGAGTGTGGGGATCAGCGGGGGACAGGGGGAGATGCCACAGGCAGGAACCCTCAGAACTCAGATGCACAGAACACAGGTGATTCCATACCTTGGCCTCCATGCCTCGTACATGCCCTGTGTCTCCAACCCATGTTCTAGAATCCTGGTTTCTGAGTGTCTTGGGACTGCAGAGCTCTAGAAATTTCTGTGCCAGCCAGTGCACCAACCAGGGCGGCTACTGAATACTTGAAATATGACAGGCATGACTGAAGAACTGCATGTTTCATTTTTAAACAAGATGTTTTAGAGGGGAAGGGAGGAAGAGAAGGAGAGAACCATCTATGTGTGGTTGCCTCTTGTGCGCAACCCCCACTGGGGACCTGGCCTGCAACCCACGTGTGCGCCCTGCCTGGGAATTGAACTGGTGACCCTTTGGTTCTCAGGCAGGCACTCAGTCCACTGAGCCACACCAGCCAGTGGTAAATGTTTCATTTTATTTAATTTTAGTGGATTTGCACTTAAGATGTAAATAGCCACCTGTCTCTAGAATGTCAGCTCTCTGATGAAGTCAGAGGTGGGGATTCCTTAGGGATGGTCCAACTTGACCCCCTCACTTTCTGGGGTTAGGGGCTGGGGTTGGAGGACTGAAGAGCAGAGGGCAGGTGCCAGCCTGGGAGCTGCCCAGTGAGGCGGGCCTGATGCTGGTCTCCTCTGCAGATGACTTACTTCGCGGGCCTGCTGGTAATCCTGGTCTTTGCAGCCTGGGTGGCGCTGGCGCATGAGCTGGGTATGGCTGTGTACGCCGCAGCGGTGCTGCTGGGCTTGGGCTGTGCCACCATCCTCGTCACCTCGCTGGCCATGACCGCCGACCTCATCGGTCCCCACACGGTAGGGCTGGTGGGCAGGGCTGGGTGGGGGTTGGGGACCAGGACCCAGTCCTTGGGTGCTGATGTCCCTGCCTGTGTGCCCTCAGCACAGTGGAGCCTTTGTGTATGGTGCCATGAGCTTCTCAGATAAGGTGGCCAATGGGCTGGCAGTCATGGTCATTCAGAGCCTGCACCCCTGTTCGTGAGTGTGACCCATTTGTTAGTTCATTTACCAAGCATGTAAGAGAGGGTGGGGAGAGGTTGAGGGAAAGTTGTGCAGGGCCTTGTGGAGGACTTGGCTTTTACCCCTGGGGGGTTGGGAGCCCTGGACGGCTGGACAGAGGAGGGGCACCCCCTTATGGCTGCGCCCAGGAGGGCAGTATGTAGAAGGTGGGGACTAGGGCGGAAGCATCCACGCTGGTCCAGCGGGGTGATGCTGGGCTGGACCAGGTGAGGTAGAGGAGGAGGGAGCAGTGGGCAGATTCAGGGCAGACCCTGGAGATAGAGCTGGCAGTGTGGGCTGAGGTGTTGGATGTGGGAGGAAAAAGGGTTGACGGTGACCCGCAGGTTCTGGCCCAAATGCTGGGGAAGACAGGGCTGCCCACAGCTGAGGTGGGAGGAGTGGGCAGTCCAGGCTGCAGCTGGAGGGTCTCCACGAGTGTCCACTCCAGCTGCTCTGTCCTCCCCTCCCCCAGCTCCGAGCTCTGCTGCAAAGCCTGTGTGGGCTTCTACCACTGGGTGATGGTGGCTGTGACAGGTGGCGTAGGCATTGCCGCCACCCTCTCTGTGTGCAGTCTCCTCATCTGGCCCATCCGCCTGCGGAGCTGTGAGTTACACACAACCTCTGCCATTCCCAACCTGGCCGTGGGTGGGGGTGCTGGGGCAGGCCCCACGCTCACTGACCCCACCCCTACCCCTCTCTTGCAGGAGCCCCTGGAGTCCAACTCTGACATTTCCCCACGGCCTCCTGCCCTATGCAAAAAAGTTCAACTGTGCACATTCCAGCCCCTGCTCCTCGGGTCCCCACCCCTCCCCTTCCTTGCCTGGCTGCAGGGATGGTGGGTGAGGACAGGATGGGCTGGACTCATCTCTGCTGGGGTGGGACACCTAGCTGGGCCCTCTGGTATCCAGGGGTCTATGGGTCTTCATGGGTTTGGGGGTGCCCAAGCCTAACTCTAATGGATGACTTGGGGTGCCCCCAGTTGCACAGGGGCAGGATGTGAAGGTCTTGGGGCCCTGGGGCTGCCCCAAGCTCAGCCCCAGCCCCACCTCACTCCCAGCACAGCTGAGGTCTCCAGGGCGCTGCTGACAGTGAACAGAGCCACTCTCAGGGAGGACGGGTCCCAGCTGTCTACCTGGCCCCGGAATGCTGAGGGCAGCAGGGACCCCTGTCCAGGACCTCTGGCTAGTGACTCTCTTTCCCTGACTGACCAGTGCCCCGATCCCCAGACAAGGACAGACATCCAGGGACAGATGCAGCGTTCCCACAGAGGGACAGTCTTTATCAGACTGCAGATGTGTAGTGGGGTTGGAGTCGCTGACCAGTGGATGGGCAGTAGGGTTCCAGGTCCCACTGCCGGTAGTTCTGGGCCGTGTAGCTCGGGCGCTGCGGTGCCGACAGATAGGGCACGTAGTCTGAGGCCGGCCCCAGCAGCTCCACCCCGTACTGGTGCCTGTTGACCACTGTGGGGCAGGACTCAGGTCACTGCATGGGTCCGGCTTCCTGGACCCAGACAGTTTTACCCCCAGCCCCCAGCTGCTGTGATGCCAGCCTCACCATATTCCTTGCCCCAGATGGGTCTGTCTTTCCACAGCATGGTCCCCCAACGAGGGCTGCGGACCCTGTACTGGGCAGGCACGATGGGGTCATACCAGGCAGTTTCCCGAAGGTGCTGGGTGTAGGCTGCAGGGAGAGTGGGGGAGAAGGTCATCTCTGGCCCTCGCTCTCCCCTTGGGGTGGCCTGTGTCAAGGCAGGTGGCCAGGCACTCACCTGAGGGCATGCTGTGCTTCCGGTGGCTGTAGCATCCAAGCCAGCGGGCATAAGCCTCCCGGTAGGGGATGTCCAGGGTCCTCGGTAGTGTGTACCAGGCTTCTCGGAAATCCGAGTTGGTTAGGCCAGTATACCACAGCTGGCTGGCCGCATCACATCCCATGGGCGTGCAGGCCCAGCGTACCGCCTGCTTGATGGCTGGTGGCCAGCGGGGCCCCATGAGGGACAGGTAGTCATCACTAAGGATTGGGGACAGAGGCTAAGCTTGTGGCTGTCCCCTGGCCCATCCTGGGCCACAGCTTGCCACAGCTTGCCTCTAGAGTTGGCCTTTTACCCTCATCGCCACATGTTGCAACAGGGAAGGGGCAAAGGCCCGGCCCACAGTGCAGAGGGCCTTCCTCTCCAGGTGGCTTGTGTCTCAGCACCGGATGCTCCCTCCTCTCTGCCACATCCTCCCCAGGACCCTCACTAAACCTTTTCCTTGACTCTCCTCAGGGGACACCAGGGAGGTGGGATTTGAAATCTCTGGCCCTTCCTGGGGTCCTAAGTCCTTGTCCCCCCTCCCAGATGCAGACTCCTTCCCCCAGGAAGCCCCTTGGCTTGGAGGCACACTAGGATGAAGTGGGCTGAGTGGCCCAGGGAGAGCAGGTGAGGGTGCCCAGATTCCTGGGAAGACCCTTGGTGAGGGACCTTTGTGTTGTCACCAGCTGGGTGACATTTAAAGAATGAGCTTACATTTAAAGAATAAACACTGTAACTACACATCCATGTCTGTTCAGGGCTCTCTTGTGCAAGTCTTTAGGCTAACAGCACAAGGAGGGCTTCCCTGAGGAGGAGGAGGAGGAGAAGAGGTGGTGACCCATTCCAGGTGAAGGGAGTGATGTGCAAAGGCCCTGGGGCAGCAGAGGACAGTTAAGGAATAAAGAGGCTGCAGTGCAGATAAGTTAGTGAAAATATCCTAATATAACAGAAGTCAAGTTGCAATGAGGTACCATTAAAACTAAAAATAGCCTCGGCTGGTGTGGCTCAGTGGATTTAACACCAGCCTGCAAACCCAAAGGTCACCGGTTCAATTCCTCATCAGGGCACATGCCTGGGTTGCAGACCAGATCCCCAGTTGGGGGCGTGCAAGAGGCAACTGGTCAATGTTCCTCTGTCTCCTTCCCTGCCCTTCCCTCTAAAAATAAAATCTTAAAACAAAACCCTACAAATAAAAACAGAAAAACCTGAAGCTGTTCATGTGCAGCTGCAGGGAAACTTGCTAAAGCCAAACCCTCAAATGGCCATTCCTTCAGGACTGGACCCTAGTAGCACCACTGCCTGAGAGACAGGGACATGCACCTGCTCTGACCTGGTCAGCTCGGTCCTGGAAATTCACCCGTAAATGAGGCTGGCTGCCCAAGATGGGGACCAACAAAGCGCTGTTCTTTACCATACACAGACAACCGGCTCAGAGTTCTCACTCCGGTAGATCTGATCAGAGCATCGAAAGTAGAAACTTGTACAAGGAAGGACCAGCTTGGTCGTTTCTCGGACTTCGGTCTTGGGAACCTGATACAGACTGGCATCACCACCAAAGGGTATTTCAAGATCACCTGGGGTGCCTGACCCTTTTAAAACAAAGATTTTGAACTGCAAGATGCATATGGTTTGTGAAAGGCAATTAAAATGCTCCACAGTAACGAACACTGAGTACCCCCTTACCCCAGCCGCATCTCTTCTGCCTTCTTCCAGAAGTGGGTGGTGCACGCGCGTGTCCCTACTGGCACAGAAATGTGGGGACTCACTGCACCTAGTCTCACTTGTTGAAGAAATTTTCTTGGAAATAGAGTGGCACAAAGGGCACTCAGTCATTTTTTTTTAAAAGCTGAAGAGTAGTGACTTATTGAAAGTCACTTATTAATGGATACTTGATTGGGTCATGTCCCCCAGAACTCATGTCCACCTCGAACCTCAGAATGTGACCCCACTTGGAAAGAGGATCTTGGCAGAGAGAATTCATTAAGATGAAGGTGTGGTGGGGTACAGTGGGTCCTGGTGTCCTAGTAAGCAGCGGGGAACCTGTACACACACACACACTCTGGGGAGGGCATGTGATGATGGAGGCATAGGTGGGGCAATGTGTCTACAAGCCAAAGGACACCAAGAATTACCAATGAACCACCAAACGCTACAACATGGGGCAGATTCTCCCTCAGTCCCAGAAGGAACTGTCCCTGCTGACACTTTGACCTTGTACTTCCAGCATCCAAGACTAGGAGCGAGTACATTTCTGGTGCTCACGCTGCCCAGTGTGTGTTGTTACAGCAGCCTCAGGAAACCCCTCGGTGCCTGGTTTCTCTGTTTCCTGCGTGGGCGTGTTCTGCCCACAGTGAGCGATCCTGTGTGACCTGCACACCCTTGCCAGTCTCCAAGGCTGCCTTGCTCTGACCACTGGCGGAGAGGAGGGTACCTAGGCAGGTGGGTGGGAGGAGATGCAGGGAGCAGACAGTTGAAGGTGCAGCACCAGTGCCTTTTATGAGTTATCAGTGACACTCAGAAGCCAAGCCAAAACCCAGAGGGGCCCTGTCGACACAGGGCAGTACTCACCTGTAGAGAGGTGCCGGGAAGTCCACTTCCACGGTCCCCTGGGGGATACAGTGCTGGGTAGCCTCCTGCCTCAGGGTCTGCATGTCTGCCTCTGGGTTCCTGGGTGCTCCTGCCTAGAAGGCCTGTGAGGCCATTGTTGACAGCAACAAAGGCCATTCTCTGTGTCCTGGCAATGCTGCTGGTGGCCCTGGCTCCTGGCCAGACCATTCCCTCCCACCTCAGCTGAGGCTGAAGGAAGGAGGTGGGGCCACACCTGAGTGGCTGGGGGCTCAGGGCTACCCCGGCCCCCTTCCTGTATTCCCACATGGGGCCTCTGAGCCAAATGAAGCTTCGGAATTTCGCTTCTGCATTCTCAGCTCCACTTTTCCAGGTGCTTAGACTCCTCACCCCGACCCAGTCCTCACCTCTTTCCAAAATACACCAGAGGAAAAACCTGCATGCAAATGTTCCCAGCAACACTTCAAAATAACCAGAAAGTAGAAACCCAAATGCCCACCAACTGGTTAAACAAAATGTACTCCCTCCACACACTGGAATATCACTGAGCCATTTCAGGGAGTGAAGCGCTGACACTCGCTACAATTGGATGGACCTTGAACACATGACGAGAACTTGTGAGACCTTGAACTCAGTAGAAGTCAGACACAAAACACCACCGAGTGTGATTCCACCTGAGAGATGTCCAGAGCAGGCACATCGAGACAGGAAGTGGGTTCATGTTGCCAGGGGTTTGTGGGTGACTGCTAACAGAGATGGGCTTTCTTTTTGAGGTGAAGGAAATGTTCTAGAATTAGAAGCGCTGTTTGTGCCCCGGCTGGTATGGTTCAGTGGATTGAGTGCTGACTTGCAAACCAAGGGGTTGCTGGTTTGATTCCCAGTCGGAGGATGCAGGTTCGGTCCCAGCTGGACGTGCACAAAAGACAGCCAAATTGTTTCTCATGTCTCTCTCCCTCCCTCTAAAAATAAATACACTCCAATAAAATAAAATAAAATAAAATCTTTAAAAAAAATGAAACAAAAAGAAGTAGTTTGCACAACATTGTGAATGCAGCTCAGTTCAAGATGGTAAACTCTAAGTTATGCACATTTTACCACAATTTAAAAAATAAAATCCAGAATCTGCCTTCCGTTCACCACCCCCACTTGGTCCTGGCTGGTCAAGTCACCAGCCTGACAGAACCTCCTCTGTGGCCTCCCTGTGCACCTGCACCAGGGGTCAGGTCCCCACACAGCAATCTTTTTTCCCTTCTCGACTCAGTACCAGGGCTCCCACCTCCCCCAGGGTAGAGGCCCAGGCCCTTCCAATGGCCCACAAGGCCCTGCATGACCTGCTCAGGCCTCTCCCTGCCTCACTGCCTCTTTCTCCCCCACTCACTCTGCTCCAGCCACATGGGCCTCCTCACTGTTGCTCCAACACATCAGGAACTGCCCTACCCAGGGCTGCCTGGAAAGCCCTCTGCCCAGGTGTCTCCTGCCCTTTTTCAAGCCCTTCTCCATTACCAGGTTTGTTGCAAGCCCTGGATTCAAAGCTGTCCCTTCCCAAAGCCTCCTACCTCCGTCACATAGCACACAACTCCCTCACACCCAACAGAAGCTCCACCAGGGCAGGTCTTGGAATATGATCTGTTTTGTAGTTCCTAGTGCCTAGGACAGGGACCTCTCTTTATCTAGAGGGAAGGGCCTGGGGTGCTCCACCAGTCCTGAGCAGCTGCAAGGCCCACTGGTCTCTCACTGCTGTACTGGCCTCTGCCTCACCCACAGCTCCTTTCCTAAAAAAGCTACATTTGATGATCAAAGAACACGTGACAACCTTGCCCTACTCCACCCCACCCATCAACCTTCCCCAGGTGTGGACACTGGGTGAGTGACACCCCCACTGCTGGCTCTGGTCCTGTTAGGTGGAGGCGGCAACACCACCTGCCCTGCATGAGAGCTCCTGTACAGCCTGCAGCCCCTAGGAAGCCGTCCTTCCCCCACCCCTACCTCACTGCATGTGATCACCACCCCTGGCCTGTGGCACCTCCTCCCCAGCTGGACTGCAAGTCTGGTATGAGTGCATGCCGTCCTCACCCCCACTAGACCATGAGGTCAGGGACACTGGCATCCCTCAGACAGCTCTCCCCCAGCACACGGGTCTCACACAGAGCCAGCGGTGAGCTCTTCGGCAGCTGCACAGGGTGAGGGAGTGGTAGGAAAAGGATTGTTTTCTTATTTAAAAAAAAAAAAAGACACAAAAATGACGACCCATTGAAACACACACATCTATGTACAATGTCCTTGCTTGAGGCTGTGGCACGCAGGTGCCGGGAGGGGGCAGGAGAGGTAGGGTCCCACCCTTCCCCCAAGCCCAGGCAGGTTCAGCTGATGGCCCCTCCTAAATGAAGGTTTTAAAAGCTGACACGCCTGTCATCCCCAGGCATAGGGGGTGGGCTGTGTCCTCCCCAGCTAGCCTTAAACATTTCTGGAGCCCATCTACAAAACACAAAACAAACCAAAGTCACAAATACATATATACACATGCACATGTGGCCGACTGCAGGGGAGAGGACACTGGAGGAGTGGGGCCTCGAAGCAGAGCCAGGTGGCTCCCACCTCAGCCTACAACTGGGTGCACCTCTCTCCCTCCAATTTCTCCAGGTCTGGGAATGAGGTGGTGTCCAGGTACAGCTTGGGCAGAGGACAACAGGGTGGGGGCAGGGGCAGGGAAAATCGGGGAGCTTCTGGGGGCCAGTGAGCACCCCTCCCTGGCTCCCCCATGGCCATGGACACAGACAGGGCACAATGGGACAGCTTGATGGAGGAGGGCAAGGCACCACCCTTAGGTCGCCTGGATCTGTACACTCACAAGGCACAGGCACTACAGTCCTGCTGGTGACAGAGCTCAGCTGTGACCCCATTAGTGACAAGGACAGTACAGGGTCAGGGCAAGCACATGACGGCAAGTGGACCAAACTTCAGTTTTCCTTGAACAAGTCCATCTCGAGATGACCTCCTCTGGTGTACAACCTGCCTGGGGCCTGCTCCTGACACCCGGCCCCTAGCAAAGTCACCGGGATGGCTGCCAGCACAGGGGCAGCAAAGGTGGCCACAGAGAGACCTAGCAGGAGTGTCCTGTCGATCCATGGGCTGACCTGAACCATCCTACTGCTGGGCCCTTCCCTGGCTGACCGGCTTGGCGTCCAGCTGTCTGTCCTGTCGCAGGCGTGGGTGGTGTAGCAGTGGTGGCGAACTCATGCTTCTGAGAAGAGCATGCAGCCCGACAAGGTGGTGATGGACACAAAGGGAAGCAGGCAGGGGTCCAGAGAGGCGTCCATCCCATCCTAGTGTCAGAGTTGGGGCCATGGAGCCACCCAGTGTGGAGAGAGCTGGAGCCCGAGCCTGCCGGTGCCCAACCACATCCCCACCCCAAACATCGCCGACAGGGTTCGCAATCAGGCTTTAATGAGAATCTTCAGGGTCTCTCCGGGCCCGGCTTCCCGCCCATCCCGGCTGCTTCCTCCGGGGACATGTGCGGGGAGGGAGGGTCATGCATGTGATGACAGGTGGTGCTCCTCTGCCCTGATGGCTCGGCCCATGGTTTACCGGATTCTGGTGAAGAGGTTGAGAACGGACACGGATTCCTGCAGGGCACACAGGAGGGAAAGCTGAGCTGCAGCTGGGGCAAACGGGCTTCGGGCAAGAGGAGCGTGAGCAGGCACCACTGTTCCCTGGTGCCCTGAGCACCCCGGCTTGGGGTGCAGAGTGAGGCAGAAGTAGAGACGGGGGTGCAGGGGTCCCAAGGGGAAGTCACGGCAGAGTCTGGTGAACAGGGCTGCTCAGGTGGCAGTGGAGACAGCCCCTGGGAGAGGCCGAGGGGACGCGCACGGGGAAAACACCTGGCGCTGATACCGACCCACTTTACCTTTGTCGAACGGGTTTTGCTAAAGACATTCCAGAACCTCAGGGTTTCGTCGCCAGCACCAGTGACGATGGCCTCTCCATCAGGGGACATGGCCTGTGGGAGGAAACCCTCAGTGTACTTGTGCCCTGCAATTGGCCCCAGGGATGGCGTCAATGACAGGAGGGGAGTGCTGGGGGCTGGGTTCCCACCAAAGCCAAAACATAGGACGCCCCCATCCCCCACCCAGCAGGGCAAGTCTGTTCTGTGCACCTGGGCAAAGGATACAACAGGTAAGCACATAACATTTCTTCCAGAAAGAAGAAAAACCCTTGAGGAGGGACTGTGTTGGAGGAGGGGCTCCCGTCCGCAGCACATGCAAGAAAGTAGGTGATGAACTATTCTCAGAGATTTTCAACCACTCAGAAAATAGTGGAATGGGATTAATTGTGCTTTCTCATACACATAATTTGGTAATGATAAACGAATGTGTGGAGATCGCCAGCAGGGCAGAGCTGCCCTTCCTCACCAGGCCAGGGAGTTCAGGAAGGGAGACTCAAAAAGTGATGACACAACCAATGTTTGAAAGCAGAATGAACTCGCCTTGCTGTTGGATTCAGACACAGGAGCTGGCCTAGATGACCCCGCCCCTTACCTCACAGACCTAGGCCGGGGAGGCTGCCGGTTAGGTCTGCACCCTGCCTTCCCCAGGGTCTGGCGCTGAGTCTGGGACCCGCCAGTGCAGACTCACCAGGTACAGAACCCGGTAGGAGTGCCCAGTCAACTTGGCCACCTGGGTCAGGGACGGGTACTTCCAGACCAGGATCTGGTTCTGTGAATAGCCGTGCGTGCTCACCTGGGAGATGGAGAGGGTGCTGTCAGAGCCTGGGGCTTGCCGCCCACGACCCCAGGGCTCATACAAAAGCCTGTCTACTATCCCTGATGCACACATTAAAAAGCAAAGATATCTGGACCCACCCAGCCCCTTGCCCCCAAACTCCGGTTGATGAGTGGAGGGGACAGGAAGCTACATTGCACCCAAAGCTCAGGCAGCCTCTCCTGGTGGTCAGCAGGCATGGGTGCCTGGGTCAGGAACAGGCACTTCCAGACTGTGGTCTGGTTCAATGACCTGGGTGGCAGGGGCCGGGCTTCACCCCAGGACCCCAGGGGAGGTTGTGCTGGGCTCCTACACTTTCTCCTGCACGTCACAAGGTGTGCCCAATACTCACCAGCTCATTGGCATGCTTGGACCAGGCCAGGTTGCACACCTGGGAGCCTGTGTCGATGCACTGCAGTGGCTGCCCTGTGAGTGTGTTCCAGAAGCGGATGCAGCGGTCGGCTGTGCCGCCGCCAGATGCCAGCAGTCCATGCTGGTGTGGGGACCAGGCTATGGCCTTCACAGCCGCCAGGTGCTCTGTGTACTGCTGCACGGGACTCAGACTTGAGTGGTTCCAGACCAGCAGCTGCGGGGGGCAGCAGCTGTGAGGCCCCCAGTGGCTATGGTCCGCAGGCGAACCCCCAAGGGGAAGATGAATAGCCTCACCCCAACCCGTTGTGCTCCTCCCTTGGGGGCACACCCTTGTCATCCCTGCTCTATGGATGGGGGAAGGCCGGGTGGGCGGGTCAATCCAGAGGTCAGGACAGTAAGGGGCCCAGGGAGTCTACCTTGTTGTCATTTCCTCCTGAGGCGAGGAGCTGGTGGTCTGTGGACCACTTGAGCCCACACACCTCCTGCCGGTGGCCCTGCAGTCGCCGCTCCAACTGCAGGGGTGGGGTGCGGATGTCCCTTTGCAGGATCATGCGATCCCGACTCCCGGACGAGAGCTGGTCAGCGTTCCAGGCCAGTGCCCCTAGAGGCCAGGCGGAAGGCGGGGTGAGGCTAAGGCCTGGCCTCTTGGGAACAGCGTGCTCTGGGAATCGTCACTTGCTCGTGCCTAGTGTCACTCCCGTCCCCTGGGATCACAGCTACCCGTCAGGACCCTGGGCTCCTCACCGACACGCGCCGTGTGGCCTTCCAGCATGGAGAGCTTCTTCCCTGCAGCCGCATCCCAGATCTGCACGAAGCCCTTATGTGTGCCGACAGCCACCAGGTTTCCCTAGGACCAAGGACCCGGGCGAGAGCAGGCATCAGGCCCGGGTGTGGAGACAGACTCCCCGGATTGTCCTCTCCTCCCTCCTTGCTGCGGGACCTTGGGGCCATTTCTTTAAAAGATCTTTAATATATGTCCCTTCGTGTCAAGGGGACAGCCCTGCCCCCTCCCTCCCTTCCACAACTTCCTGGTTAGATGGTCACAGAGAGCATGGATTTGTCAAAATCCAGCCAACACACAGTTAAGACCCACACACTTCAATGTGTGGACTCGCCTGCCTGAGCCCAGGCTGCCTGCTGGCTGGTGTCGGGGGGATGGAGCTCTATGGGGGCTGTGGCCAACCCTGCATCTCTCTGTCCGGCAGCCCTGCCAACAACCCTGTCGTTGTAATAATCTCTACCAGGCTGGAGACAGGTGGGGTGCAGACATCACCCTGGGGCTTGGACAAGACCTCCAGACTGGGTTCTGGCTACTCTGGGTCCAGACCCCCAAACACTGTGGAGGGCCCTTGCCAGCAAGGCCCAGTCAGATTTCCCCTGCCCAGCCCCACCCCGCCGGGGAGCAAGCCGTGTACTGACCCGCTCAGACCAGCCCACGGAGGTCACTGAGTCCCCTTCCACAGAAAGGTCACAGAGCCGGGTCACCTGTGGGAAGGAGAGAGCAGTCGGTGTGCGCTGTTGTGCTGTCTGCTGATCCTTCAAGGTCCTGACCATCCACTCGTCCATTCATCCATCTGTTCATTCATTCATTCATTCACTCAGTCACACCTCATGCCCATGGGCACTGGCGTCAGTGCTGGCACTTGAGATAATGAAGCTGGGGTGCCCAGGAGGCTGAAGGCTGCAAGGGGACACATGCCAGCACCAGGTTGAGTGACTGCAAAGTCTGGGGAGGGATCCTCAGGTGATGAGGACTTCACACAGATGCATCAAACACCCAGGGGTGCGTCCAACAGGTGGCAGTCCTCCCTAGGGGGAGTCACCTTCTCCTGAACCCACTTGCATTAATCTCTGGAAATGCACCCCCTGCCCCAGGGCATTTTCATAGGTCCGGGCCTATGGTGGGCCTGGCAACAGCTCAGAGTTAGTGCTGTGGGTGGGGTAGGGCAGCCCCCAGGCTCAGCCGGGCCCAAACACCTATCTTCCCTCCTCTGCAGACACTGGCAGAAGCCAAACTTGGGAAGCAAGGGCTCCAAATCAACACAGGAGACAGCCCACAGCAGGAGGGGCACAGGGGGCCCCATTCACACCTGCTGACTACTCCTGAGTTCCAGTCTGTACTTGGAGGGTAGGCCTCAGGGATGAGAGGGCAGCGCAGTGCTGCTCTGGGCTTGGGAGCACCAGCCACGCTCATCCTTCGCACAGGCTAGCCTGGCTCAGCTACTGGAACCCTGAGACACACACATGCAAGTACTTGTACACACATTTGCAGGCACCGGGGCACCCACCTGGCTGGTACAGGCACTCCACAGGTACACGCAGGTGCCCAGCCCCACGCTGAGCACATTGAGAGATGACCAATCCACTAGATTCAGGTAGAAGTCATCCTGCAGTTCAGGTGCATCTAGAACCTTGAAGGGGATCTTGGAGATTTTGCGGGTGGGTTTCCGGGGCGACCGCAGTAACTTCTGACTGTAGGGAGAGACAAGACAGTGATTCTATGTCAGTCAGCCATGTGGTTAGCAATACTCCTTGGCTAATGTCACTACCCCTGGTTCACATCAGTCCTTGGTGTACCTCCTCCCACTCATCCTGTCCCTCTGTCCACATGATCCCAAAACTGTGGGTGCCCCCAGAGACATAAGCATTTTACCCTTAGGCGTTTGGCCACCCCAAACCTTAAGAGCCACACTGTCCCCTCTGCTTGGCACCTCCTCCAGAGGGGTCTCCCTGACTCCCCCTTCCCCAGTCTGGACCTAAAGCCTTCAGGCCGACAGTGTGACCTGGTGAGGGGTCTTAGGACTAATTGCAGCTCTTCCATACTGCCCAGCTGCCCACCCAGCCCCGTCCCCAGCTCTCAAAGACCCAGACTTACCTTTTGTTGCTGACGGGAGACAAGGAGTAGGGAGACACATCATTGCCGTCATCAGGGCTTGAGCGCTTGGTACTGAGGGAATACTGGGTGGGGGGTACACACCTACTGAGTGGACACCCTGGCCCCAGAGCTCAGGAACCTCAGACCCCAAAGCTTGGGCACCCTGAGTTCTTGGTGGCTGGGTGAGAGAGTGGGGCTTGGTGCTCATCCTAACCAGGAGGACCTCTAACTGGGGGTGTCCTGGGTTCCAGAAACTCAGAGAAGCAAACCAGGCCTCCCCTTGGCAGTAACTGCCAACATGCTCAGTCACCCTTGCAGCCACCAGCCCCTTAGCCACCTTGAAGGACCAAAGCCAGGCCCTTTCCAACACTGCCAGGGGCCCCCATGACCTGGGATGGCATGAATCTGCTCTGTGGGGCAGCTCTCCTGAGGCCACTGCCCCTTCACCCGGTACCTGAGCACCTGCCCCAGGGTCACCTTTGTCTCAGCAGGCATCCAGGAGGGTCACAGGGCAAGCCTTGGGGTTAAATGGGCTTGGTCCTGCCCTCTACAGGGTTTGAGGGCCCCAGCCGGGCTGGTACGTGAAGAGGAAGAACCTGGGGAGGCCAGGCCTGTGTGGCCTAAAGGAGCTGCCACACAGCACAGGCCACTGGGGTGAGGGCTGACACTAGGTCAAGTCATGGAGGATAGAGATCTCTGTCCCCAGCAGGAAGCCGTGGTCAGTGTGGGCACAGCTGGCAGGCTCACCGTGAAGAGGCCCTTCTTCTCAGGCGTGGAGGGCTGCAGCCTGCGGTCCTCTGTTTGTGGGTCCTGCACCTTCTCGATGCCAGCCCCTAGCAGCTCATTCTTCAGCAGGGCCGAGTAGGCCAGGCCATCTGTAGGCAACCAAACACGTTGAGAGGCTGGGGTGGGACCAGGCAAAGGGGTGAAACAGAGGGTTTGGGGCCCTGACTCCTGACCTTTGCCATTGTCTGAGGTGGCATCCTTGGCTTTCCGGTTCTGGCTGGGAGACTTCTCATTTTCCTGTGGGAGGAGGAGGGAAAGGAGGGAGGAGTGAGCTGGAATGGCCTGGCCCTGCCCCAGGCGGCAGGGTCAGTGGTACTTCTCCCCCAACCCTCTGCCCTCACATTGATCCTGTGGAAATTGACACTCCAGTTGGCACCGGCTCTTGAGGGGATGAAGCGGTCCCCGTGCTTGCTGGGGGAGGACACAGGGGAGTTGGCAGGCGTCAGGGTCCGCCGCATCTCTGAGACCTGAAAGGATAGCAGGGTGAGGCTGGGTGGGAGCCCCCAGCCTAACCCACTCTACCTGCTGCACTTGTCCTCTGGCCATTGAATGAGGGGTTCAATCTTGGAAACCCAAGGGGCAGAGGTAAAACATCTGGGTAAGTAAGTCATGGGTGGGACCCTGCTGGCAGCTTCGAGAGGCAGGAAGAGGTCAGTCTGTACTCGGGTGCTTCCCAACAGCAAAACACCAGCACACTACAAGGTGGCCTTTGTTTCTAAGCAGACAGGGAACAGACAGTTAAACTGTTGCCCCGTCACCCCCATTTCCCACACATGGGGATCTTCTCCCACAGAACGATCACCCCACCACCTGAACTAAGTCGTGAAGGTGATACATTGCTTCTGGCCAACCCTCTGACTCCACTCAGTTGGCTGGTGAATGTCCTTAATCTATAAGCAACTTGCTGTGGGTTGAACTGTGTCTCCCAAAAGGGCAGGTTGAAGTCCTAACCACTGGTAACTGCGATGAGTTCTTATTTGGAAATAGTGTCTGCAGATTGAATTGCGTTAGGACAAGGTCACAGTGGAGCAGAGTGGGCTCTTAAAATGAACACCTGGTGTCCTTGAGAGCCGGAGGCACAGAGAAGACAGGATATGAAAATGAGGCAGAGACAGAAGTGATGGGTCTAAAAGCCAAGGACTAGCCCTGGCTGGGTAGCTCAGTTGGTTACAGCATCATCCTGATACAAAAAGGTTGTGGGTTTGATCCCTAGTCAGGGCACATAAAAGAAGCAAACAATGAATGCATCAATAAGTGGAACAACAAATCGATGTTTTTTTCTCTCCCCCCATAAATTAAAAGCCAAGGATTTCCAGCAACATTGGAAGCTTGAAGAGACAGAAAGGATCCTCCCCAGGCTCCTTAGCCCTGTCACTCCTGCCCTATAGGCTCCCATGTCCCAGCACCTTGTCCCCTCCCACGTCATCCTGATTACCCCCAGGCCAACTCCCCTGCACAGGTTGTGGGGCTGGAGCAGAACCCCAGCTTTGCAACGCTGGGTCCTTCAATGTCCGGTCTGGAAAATGGGAAGGTGGCTCACATTCTGCCATCCCCAGTCAGTCCTAACTACAGCCCCACGGGAAGCGCCGGTGCCTCCTGCAGCCTGGGAGGCATAGGTGCTGTGTAGAATAAGCAGAGGGAAGGTACACTGAAGTGCTGATGGGAGTTCACGCTGAGGTGGGCTGTGGCATCACCATGGAGGAGTTTTGGAGGAGGATTTTTTTAAAAAGATACTTATTTTTAGAGAGAGGGGAAGGGAGGGAGAAAAACATCCATGTGAGAAACATCAATAGGCTGACTCTCCTATGCGCCCCATCCGGGGGCCAAACCAACAATTCAGGCATGTGGCCTGACTCAGAATCGAACCAGCAACCTTTCACTTTGCAGGATGACGCCCAACCAACTGAGCCACATGGGCCAGGGCCAGGGTGAGAGGATATTTTTCACCTGCACAGCACCTCCTTCTGTTTGCTGAGGGCTGAAGCTCAGGGGCCAACCACACCCCCACCCCGTCTTCTGACGCTCCACCAGGCCAGGCCAGGCCAGGCCAGGCCAGCACTGGTAGGGCTAACTACCAGGTACTCACACAGGGCATCGTATTCTCGTTCTGGATGACGATCTGCCGGAGGAGACGCCGCTCATAGTCCTGGTCCATGGCGAGGCACGGCAGGTATGGCTGCTGACCAAGTCAGCCTGCCAAGTTCTGCCAGCCAAAGTCAGCCTGGGGCAGGAAGGGCAGGACAGCTCAGCATCATGGGCAGTGGTCTCCACCACCGCCTGGTGACCACAGGGCACTTCTTTGGAACAGCTGAGGTCCCTACCATGTGACAGGGTTCTCCCTCCCAGGAGCCCAGAGCTCAGGCCTGGCTGTACCCCAGAGGCTCTGGAAGTCACAGGGAAGCACAACTGAGACAAACAGGACTTCTCTCTGTCCTCCGCAGGGCCATTATGACAGGACCCTTCACTTTTATCCTGGCTGTAAGGGCAAGGCTCCCCCATTCCTGCCCCCAAAGCCTTGCCCCAGGTCCCTTCCTCCTCTAACCCAGGCCCCCATCTCATTGTCTTCCTGTTTCAGATCCTCTGAGGCCATGGGCCACCCAAGGGCTACGTGGCCTGAGAGGGAGGTGCGAGGCTGGGCACAGGTTGGGCGGTACCACTGAGGGTTCCTCCTCAAGCAGGGCAGCCTGTGTGTCCTATGCACAAAATCGGTGTGGGTCAATATGCGCTACAGAAGTCTGCCAGGGCTGATGGGGACCAGGGAGGCCTCTCTGAGGAAGAGGAAAGCTCACTAGCAAAAGGAGGCTGGAAAACAACATTCTAGAGAGGAAAGAGATGTGAGGAAGGGCTGTACACATTCTAGGATGGGGCAGAGGTGAGTGGCAGCCTCAGAGAGAAGGGCTGTTCTCTGCAGTGAGGATGGCAAACCAGGGCCCAGGCACAAGCCAGACCCACAGCCACACCCCTGGCTGCTTTCAGAAGAAAATGTTTGCCGGTCCGGAAGGACCTCCACCAGGTGGTGGAGACCTCAGCAAACAGAAGGAGGGGAGGAAGGGCTGGAGCCTGAAGGCTGTGAGATGTTGAGGCAGGCCTCTCCGATGGATTCCTGGGCCCATCACAGAGACCACATACACTGTGTGGCCAAATACCAGCTCTAGCCTGCCAGGTCCTTGTCCCTCACTTTCATTACCGGACACATGGGGCCACCTTGATGCGGCCCAGTCCTGAAGCCAGCAGCTTGGTCAGGACACAGCACCAAGTCACTGGTCATCACAGTGTGTGCCTGCCACACCCCACATTAGTGGGCTTGCACGTTTTATCTTGTGCTCTCCCTGCACAGCATCATGAACCAGGCACCCACGCCCTCATGCACATCAGGATGTGAAGACCAAGGAAGGGCAATAATACCCCAGTGTGCCCATGGCCCCCCCTCCACAGCCTAGAGCCCCTCTGAGCCTGTACTAGCCTGCAGCCCCAAATCCCACTGTCCCCCACCTCAGCAGACAGCAGGCTTCCTGCTTTAGTGAGAAAGTGGGGCCACAGCACTTCAGCCCTCTCCATCTTAGATAAGCCGTCGGGAGCAGCAACCCCTTCTTGGCTACTTTCTTTCTGTCCCCTCCACCTACCCTGCCCTGGCACAGGTCCCCAGACACATTTCAGTCCACTGTGGCATAGGACAGACTCTCCTAAAAGGGCTGATGGTTGTCTCCCTCCTTACCTCTCCAGGGGCTGGGGCCACACCCCCAACCTCTACCTCCTTCTGCCAGCCCAGCCCAGCCCAGCCCACACCAGCCCTGCCTAGCTGGAAGTTCACCCATTGGCTTGCCCCAGAATGTACCTGCCTCCTCCTTCACCCAACAGGTTCCCCCAAATGACTAGGTCTTGCCGATCAACTCCCCGAAGTGTGCCCTCACCACACCTGACCAATCCTGTGGCAGCACAGCCATACATGGGATATGGAGATGCCTGTGTCTGTCCCAGGTGGAGGCACCTGTTCAAAGGACAGTTTCCCAAGAAAAGGCCCAAATCACCTCGATGACCACTGCACTGGGCTGCGTGGAAACCAGAGCTGAGCTCTAGGTCCACCTTGACTGAGCATCCTTTGAGTGGGGTCCACTGGGGGCTGGACACAAAAAGGAGCTGCCACAGCTCTGTTCCAGTAAGTTTCAACCATCACCAGGCATTCTCCCAGAGGTGGGCCAGTTGATCCCCCCCCCACAACCTCGCAGACTAAAAATGAGGCCCAGAGAGGCTGGCTAACTTCCCCCGTTGGCACTGCCTGGGGCCTCATCTGCCTCCCACCAGATAGTGAGCCCTCAGGGGACAGGCTGGAGGCCATCATGCCTTGGTGCCTGTGCTCAGCAGCCACCCCTCCCCATGTCTTTCAAACGCAGTGCAAGCCACCAAGCTTCTGCTGCCTAAAATGAACTGTTCCAGACAGAGCGAGCAGCTCGTTCTCCCCAGGCAGGGAGGCTCAGAGCCAGTGGAGTCTGGGAGAGTGAGAAGCCTCCCCAGGAAATGACCCTAGGGGACTCAGTGCAGGGACCAGTCACATTGTGGGTGACAGTTGTTTAAACTTCTTGGCCCAGATGAGCTCCGTTCCCATGGAGACCACCTCCATTCACAGACCAACGGCACCACGTTGAGGCCGGTGGGGCCGGTCTGCTTCATAAAGGACAGCAGGCCCCAGACTATGGCTGGGACGTGCTCCGCACACCCGAAATTAAGCAGAGTCTAAAATGCTGTAGTCTCCTCAGAGACAGAGAGTGGGAGACTGGTGAGACTGGCTTCCCAGGGCGAGTTAAGAAACTCAGTGCCATACAGCTGGCTGAGCGCTACAGCTGTCTTGAGTCCAGAACGTATGTCCAGCATGGTGTACCCTCCTGTCACCAGCACATCAGCTGCCCCTCTGCCTGCCTGCTACATTCGGATGTGGCCACCTACAGAAGCCTGTGCGGTAGGCAGCCTCTCGCCATTTAGACTTGGCTGCGGAGGGTCAGAGAGTTTCCAGAAATTCACCCACATGTTTAGGGTCTTAGGCCCTGGGACCTGTGAACATGTCACTTCACATGGCAAAAGAAACTCCAAGACCAGGTACCCACTGGGGCAGGGACCCCTGGGGTTGCAGGCAAGGTGGAGTGGCTCTTGAACTAACTCTTCCCAGGCTCTAACCTGGGCTCTAACCTGGTAAATTCAGGTAACATCCCTGACAGGGTGAGCCTTCCTGCCGCCCTTCCGGAGCACCCTGCCCCACACCCCTCACGTGGTTTTCTTGATGAGGAAGAAGGTAGAGGGGGGCACAGACGAGATGGGCACAGACCAAGATCTCAGGAGAACGGCACCTAGCAGGTCCAACCATACACAGACACACACCCACACCACACGACCCCGGGGAACAGACACACACACAACCAGACCCGCCCAGCAGCCCAGAGGCCCTGCTCCAGCCTGCAGACCAGCTCATTTGAGAGCACTGAAGGCTGTCCTAGTCCAAGGACCGGGACCTCAGGGAACACCCACACCTTGGTGCCAGCCTGAGGACTGCCCCCTTCCACTTCCTCTAAGATTGCTGCTTACTGTACCACAGAAGAACAAAAGACCCCAAACCTGTAAGAGAAAAGGCTGGTAGATTAATCACCAGAGAAATAAAAAGTGTCTATAAGGCAAAGACACCACAAACAATGTTTTAATAAAAAACAACTAGGAAAAATATCTATCACCTGGAGGACTGACTGAAGTGGCACAAGACATGAACAATCAACCCTGGAAAAAGTGCTCACCCTCGCTGTTGGAGAAGGCAGTTCTACCTGCCAGCCTCTGCTGATTCTGAGATTAGGGAACACGCCCTTGCCACTAATGCAAGGGGACTGCTTGCCTGTGCTGTTGGCAGGAGCTGAAACTAGTACAACTTCTAAGGAAGGCAGTTTGGCAACTGCTTGCAAAATCTAAAAAAGCACATCCTTTTCAATGTTGTGTTTCTACTTCTAAGAATTTGCCCTCAGCAACTCCAGGCGTGCGTATGCAAAACCCCGTGCACGGAGCTGCTCTGTGCAGACAGCTTATGAGAGCAGGCCATGAGAAATGACCTCAGCAGCTGCCTTGAGGGGACACTGCAGCACAAAGGGCAGGCCTCAGGGTCTCAGGGACCCACTGCCTGCGAGAGCAGCACTGTGGGGCAGGGAGAGTTCTGGAAGGCTAGAGAACAAACTTGTAGCAGAAGTTGCTTTAGGAAGAGGAACTAGAGGACAGGGGTCAGAGGACGGAGGAAGCCTTGTTTCCCTGTGTCATGAGAACGTGTCAGCTATTCAGAGATGTAAACCAGCTGGGAAAAGATGGGACCGCACAAGCGCATGATGTGATAGGAAGAGTCTCAGTGGTCAGAGCACAACTGGCTGTGCACCAGAACATTCTGCTACCTTTGCAGTATGAATGTTAGAGAAAGTAGTGATTTCTCTGTTAACAAGTAGTCACTGAACACAATCTGCAAGGCCTTGTGATTGGGGAAGGGGGAGCTGGGGGCAGGGCCTGTGGCAGCATGAGAATTCTGGTCTTAGAGAGGTACTCACTTTGCTGACCTGGGAGGCTGTGCCCTAAAGGGTGCCAAGTGCAGGCTGGTGACTGTGGTTGGGTGAAGTGGCCAAAGCCGTGGCTGCCCCGTTTCCCACGGCCACTGTCCCCTCTGCAGGGTACTATCAATGGGTATCATTCACACACCAAGCCAGCCCTAAAAAGGAGAGCCCCCCTTTGCCTTGGGTACAGTAGAATGAAGGGCCAGGAGGCCTGCCTTCTGCCACTGCTTCAGACAAGCCTCAATCTGTTCCTCTGGGGAAGGGGCACAATCTTTTTTACTTGAAAAGGATGCACTGAGGTCCCCGCATGGCTAGGGCAGGGACTGCCTAATGGCCTGGGGCTGCCCTCCTGCACGACCACATGTGCACCCTGGCCAGGCAACTCAAGTGGCAATGGAGCTGGGGCCTTGCTTTCGACCCAGCTGCCCACTGGCGCACTGCGACCTCCTGAGGGGGCTGTCCCTGCTGCTCCTGGTTACCCTGACCTCACAGGTCCTGCAGGGCTCACCTGGTTCTCATTCACCAGATACTTAATGAAGACAGGTTACTCTGAGTATAATGCCAACAGTTCTCACCGGAGTGACTGTGCCCCCAGGGGACACTGGGCAATGCCTGGGGACATCTGTGGTCTCACGGTGGGTAATACTCCTGGCAC